AAAAATCTTGTGTAATACTTTGAGTATTCTTTCTTTCTCTTACCTATCAATTCCGCTGCATTACACTCTTCTTTGTGAGATAAACATCTCCAAAGTAGTGAAGTCTTTTTAAACCACAACAGATTTGACCGTGAGGGAAATAGTAATGTAGCTGCACGCCATTGCTTGCGTTTGTTCATCACAATTCACAAAAGGTCCTGCATTTTTTAATTTTTAGTCCACCTACCCATGTAATTGTAATTGTAACGGGCATACCCTCCCTCCTATGGAAACTCATTAATTGACATGGCATATACACCTCATTTGCCACCTCACATGATACATGAATGTGGTCAAAAGTCGAAATCTCACTAACATTTTCATTTTGCAATTTTCTCGAGTACTCCATAGATTCACGTTTTTCTTCAGCTTTGAGTGTCATCAATGACAATTTTGCATTGGCTTTTAGTCCACCCGAGCCTTTAACGGTCGGACTCTCCCTCTTATGAAAGTGGTGCCCATGCGCAGGTTTTTACCAATCCCTAATATCTGTTACTGAAACATGTTAGGATTATATAGTAATTAGCCCCTCTATTCGAAAACAAACGTATTTAATATTTTACCATAAAAATTATAAAATTCCAAAACAAATGTATTTAGTATTTTAACATTCGTATAACAACTCCTCATATGTGAGTTAGGTTTGTTGATTAGAGCAATGCGATCGTCTTTTTGCATTCATGTTTGAACCCCCTCTTAGTAAATTATAACCATTTAGAACGTAATATCATATTGCCAAAGAAATAGAATAACAAGTCCTAGTGGTAAGAAATATAACAAAAGATTCACGATATAAAAAGCGTGTTTGCATGTGTGTTAGCATGCGTGCAAAATGTTACGCGCAAAGCGGTTGCTGTTTTTTTTGTAATATGAATTGAGTTTCTTGCACACGAAGGTGCTTCGTGTACTTATACATTTTTATGAAATAACGTCGTAATTGACATAACAATCTAATGATGATACTGAAGTTCAATTGTAAGGAACACAACTGAAGTAAAAACACGCAACGTGTCATCATATAACCAAACTTGATTCAATCCCGTTCAAAAAAATAAAAAATAAAAAACAAAAAAACTAATTTTGTATTCATTCAGAACTAACTGTAGTGTTAATTATTCTTTTGTTGATTAAATTGCGTGGTTACTTCAGTACAACATATCAATCATACGTAAGTCTACATCAAAATCGTTTGGAGTTCAGGCATGCCACATGCTATTTTAAACTTATTTTTTTCACTAAAAGAAAATAAACATTACTTTTATAAATATGAGAAAGCAAATTTGTTGAAGTTTAATGTAGTATATATCATTCATTTTATCTCTAACTTTTAAAATAAATCACTTACGTAAACATATTTTCTCTCTTTCATTAAAATAACAAGGGCGGAAAATCATATTTTCTCTTATTTCCGCTAAACATGGATTACTTGTACAACTCGTAGTAGATGTTCTGAACTTTTCTAAATCCCATCAAATGTGAAAATTCTGATGATTCGAGCACATTTGAGGATCTTTCTTGTGAAAAAAAAAGAAGCTATTATACTTGTACAAATTGAATATATTTCTCTATGGTACTATTGGTATGTGAGTTGGAATTTAAATCAGGTTCTGTTGTCTTTGTTAGGTTGGTCGGACCATTCACGTGATCAGATGACTTGACCTAAGATTTTTCGAGGTTGTGCATTTACATTCTTTATGGTCAATTGTTATGAGAAAGACGTACTTACACCTGGTAGTCATTATGCGCGTATCCTAAAGCATAATGCACGGAATGGATGGGAATGGGCACGAGTGAGCTTTTTTGTACGTGGGCCAAGAGGTGGGCCGAAAGGCCCAATCCCATAAGTAATCCATCTTGAAGGTGTCGCATTAATATACTTTTAAATTAGGTGATGCTAGATAGGCTTTTTTTTTTTACCATATTTTAGATCATATTTTGTGGACCACATTATTTGAAGGTTGATGGTTGGATTCTTTCTTTAAATCATTAAAAAAATAGTCTAACCATCAATTGTCATATCATGTATTTTATACCATATAGTCTAAAAAGATGGTCTCCCAAGCATTTTCCCTCTAAATAAAACAAATTTGCGATGAGTAATGTTAGAAAAACCACATTTTCTTATCACATTTATGTACCATGTGACATGGCAATTGACAAATATAGTCAATATGGCAATATCCAATGAGATAAATATATATATATATATATATATATATATATATATATATATATATATATATTTAATGAGATAAACTCATTAATTGATATGACATATACTAATCACTTGTCACATCACGTGGTACATGAATGTGGTAAAAGTTTGTGATCTCTTTAGCAATTTTTTTTTCCAATTTTTCTCGAGTACTAATATACATTCACAATTTTTTTTGGGCCTTGGGTGTCATCAATGACAATTTGGCATTGACTTTTAGTCTACTTAGGCTTGTAACCATAGCTATAACAGTCGGACTTTTCCTTCTATGGAAACTCGTTAATTGACACGGTATATACACCTCATTTGCCACATCACATAGTACATGAATGTGGTCAAAAATTGAAATCTCCCTAACGTTTTAATTTTGAAATTTTTCTCAAGTACTTATATACAGACATTCACGTTTTTTCTTGGGCTTTGGGTGTCATCAGTGACGATCTGGTATTGACTTTTAGTCCACCTAGGCCTGTAACCATAACTATAACGGTCAGGCTCTTCCTCCTATGGAAACTCATTAATTGACATACATACACACCTCATTTGCCACCTCACATGATACATGAATGTGGTCAAAAGTCTAAATCTCTCTTAACATTTTCATTCTGCAAGTTTTCTCGAGTGCATTCAGACATTCACGTTTTTTCTTGGGCTTTTGGATGTCATTAGTGATGATTTAGCATTGACCTTTAGTCCACCTAAACCTGTAACGATCGGACTCTTTTTTTTATGAAAGTGGTGCCCACATGCATGTTTTTACAATCTCTGATATCCGTTACTAAAACAGGATTATATAGTAATTAGCCCCTCTATTCCAAAACAAACGTATTTAATATTTTACCATAAAAATTAAAAATACCAAAATATATATTTTACCATAAAAGTTTTAAATATCCAAAAAATGTATTTAGTATTTTACCTAAAAATAAAATATTCCAAACAAACTTATTTACCATAAATTTTTTAAAAATATTAAAAAGATCTCAGTTTACAGTATTTATCCTTCATTTTTTATGAGTTTTATCTTTCATTTTAAAAAACCATATTTCAAACTACCTAATTTAATGTTGTGTGCACTGAATTTGTACACTAAATGATATGTCACAAATTAAATTTGTACTTTAATCTAAATTGGAAATTGACTAATAATTGTAATAAAAATCTATAAAGTATAGAATGTGCCACATCATTTAGTGCATAAATATGATAAATGTAGCATCACCTTTTAAACTAGTTATTCATTTATTTATCTCCATTCTCTCCATCGATTACCAATAGTTCAACTAAACCCTACATCCCTAACTTTGGTAATTCAAAAATCGTATAACGATTCTCTAGATATGAGTTAAGTTTATTGACTAGGGCAATGTGCTAATCCTTTTGCATTCATATTTGAATCACCTCTCAATAAATTATTACAATTTAGACTGTAATATCATATTGCCAAAGAAATTAATTGAATAACAAGTTTTAATGGTAAGAAATATAACAAAGGATTCACGATAGAATAAACATGTTTGCATGTGTGTTAACCTGTGTGCAAAAAGTAAAAGGAATACTATCCATGCCCGCGTTAGCGCGCGAAAAGGTTGTTGTTTTTAAATATGAATTGAGTTTCTTGCACGCGAAGGTGCTTCGTGTACTTATACATTTGAATAAATTGTAACAATGGTCTTTCAACTTTAATCAAATTGGAGTAATGATCCCTCAACTAAAAATTCATTACCATTGGTATCTCAACTCAAAATGTGTAGCTATAGTTCTTTACATCAATTCCGTCAAAATTTTATGAAAATAAGTTATGTTGGAATAACCATTTATATAATTAGGGTCCCTCAACTCATCAAAGTGTGTAATTATGGTCATTTTCGTTAACTACGTCAAAATTTTTGTCAAAATGAGTTATGTTGAAATGACCATTACTACAATTGGGTTAAAGTTAAGGGACAATTTCTCTAGTTGAATTAAAGTTGAGGGACCAATGGTAGTGAATTTTTAGTTGAGGGACTATATATAGCTACACGTTTTGATGAGTTGAGGGACTAATGGTAATGAATTTTTAGTTGAAGGACCATTGCTCCAATTGAATTAAAGTTAATGGACCATATCTATAATTTACTCTATACATTTGTATGAAACAACGTACATAACAATCTAACGATATAGATACTGAAGTCCAACTGTATGGAACACAACTGAAGTGAAAACACGCAGCGTGTCATCATATAACCACCAAATTTGTTTAAGTGAAACTAATACTGTATTCATTCAAAACTAATTGTACGGTTAGTTACCTTTTATTGATTAAATCGCACTATAACTTCCGTATAAGTACGTCTAAATCAAAATCATGGGGAGTTCTGACATGCGACGTGCTATTTTAAACTTTTTTTTTTCACTAAAAGAAAACAAAACTTATTTTTATAAATATGAGAATGCAAATTTTGTTGAAGTTTAATGTAGTGTATATCATTTTATTATATTTTTAACTTTTTAAATAAAATCACCTACGTAAACTTATTTTATCTCTTTCATTAAAAAAAAAAAGGTGAAAAAACATATTTTCTCTCTCTTATTTGGACCCTTTCTATTAATTTTTTAATTATTAATTGTCCTTATTTGCATGAACTCCAAATATAAGATCTGCTCAATCCCAGAACACAATAACCCATTCTCTGTAATTCACAATCTTTCGCTCCCATTTTTCTACCCCAACTGGGCGTCTCTTCAGAATTGTAGAAAAAAAATGAGGTACGAAATTGTGCAGCTGGTGCCCAGACAAGCTGGCTGGCAACAAGAAGAAGAAGAAGCGGCGGCGGCGGAGGCATCTGGGTCCGGGAACTGGCGGGGTGAGACTAGCAATTCTGTCAGAGAAGGTAGGTGCTGTATGTGTTCGGTGGCTATGGCAGAGATAACTACCAGACAGACCAACCAGTTCACGTCTTTGCAAAATCCGAAAAATAATAATAATAATAAATAAATAAATCCCTTGATTTTTTGTTTGATTTTTCTGTTTTTTATTTTCTTAAGTGGTAACCTTGGTTTGCAGGGTTGGTTGTGAGTTTTCTGGGGGAAATGTTTGAATCCTTTTGTGATTATTCATGTTGATTAATTTTCAAGGGGGGTTCTGCGGGCTTGTAAGTAGCTAGGGTGGGTTTAATTTGGTAAAGGGGTGTGATATCCACACATTCATTTTTACTTCTCATACACTCTTTATTAATTTATTTCATTTGATCTTCTTCAATTCACTCGATCCGACGACTAGAAATTAAGAAGGTGTTTGAGAAGTAAAAATGGATGTTTGGATGCATACCCCTTTGGTAAACTCATGGTTCATCTTGTTTGGAAAAATTGGAATCAACCGATGTGATGGGTTGATTTTCGAACCGTGCTCTTTTTTTTTGGTGAAGTTTTTCTTTCGAACAATGATTGGCTAATCAAGGATGAGTATGAACTCTTACTCAAAATTTTGTGTGTTCGAATCACAGAGTACCGTTTATATTATAGATCACTTTGTAAAAATCATCTCTGACAATTAAAAATGATCTAAAATTAAGATCGTTTAGTCAATCAATTGTAGCAAATACATAGACGATTCGTAATATTTTTACCATTCATTTGTTTTAATTTATATAGTTCGATGACTAAACAACCTTAGTTTTAATTGAATTTTTTCAAGGCGATCTAGTAATTTATAATATTAATGGTTTTAATCATAAACACAAAGTTTTGTGAATCAGTAACGAACAATTTTAAGTAGGAATTCTTACTTATCTCACGAGTAGCCAAGTATTATTATTAACTTTTTGCAACAATTCTTGTAAAGGCTTCATAGGGTAGCTAGGGTAAGCTGTTGAGTTTTGATTTTAGAGGGTTTCATCGGGTATCATATGACACTTCAACATAGTACCAGAAAACAATCATGCTAGCTTATGCATTATTATGCGCCCGATTTTTTTCGCTTCTAACAACTAAGTAAAGCACTAAGATATCGTTCTACTGAATATTTGTTGTTTGTTATACAATTTCGAACACTGCTTTGAGTGAGTTATTATTTTTCATGTCTGTGTATTAATGCATGTTATAGAGATTGTTTAATTTTTGAGATTATTAATTTGCTTATTCTGAATTGTTGATTGCAGTTTCATGGAGGCAACCGTCACCCTTTATCAGAGCCAACTTACCAATTCCAAGGGACAATCACAACTGCACCACTGCTGGTGATAATCTCTTCGTAAATCAAACACATTCATTAAGACAGCCGGCGCCTGTGATCAGAGGTTCATGGAGGCAACCGGCGCCAGGGATGAGAGGTACCGTACCAACTCCAGGGGACATCCACAGCAGCACCACTGTTGGTGATAATCTCTTCGTACAACAAACACATTCAAGGAGGCAGTCGGCGCCAGTGATCAGAGACACCGTACCAGCTGCAAGTTCATGGAGGCAGCCGTCGCCGGTGATCAGAGGGGCCCTACCAACTCCAAGGGATAGCCACAACTGCACCACGGCTGGTGATAATATCTTCGTACAACGACGAACACATTCAAGAAGACAGTCAACGCCGGTGGTAAGAGGCACCGCACCAGTTACGCATTCATGGAGGCAGCCAACGCCGGTGACCGGAGACACCCTTCAAACTCCAAGGGACAACCACAACTGCACCACTGGTGATGATAATCTCTTCGCCTCTAGAGGTACCGATGATACGAACCCTCTCAAAGATTTGCATATAATTTAATATTATTTTTTTAATATTATTTTATCATAAAAATAAACAATTCCAAACAAATGTATTTAGCACAAAAATTTGGCCCAGGCCACACACAATTGCCCTTTTTATGTTAAGTTTAAAAATTAAAAATTAATTTAGAAAATTACTTTATATTTTTTATTAAAAATTTCTTTTTACGAATATTAAAAAAAATATTTTGAAAAGGAAATGAAGCAACCCATGAAAACACCCATTCCGTGGCATTTTTAATTTTAATTTTAAGTCGTTTAAATATATTTAATTACTATTTAGCCCTTATTAATTTAATAAGAAAGGGCAATTTATAGAAGTTTGAATGTTTCATCAAATTGCCCATCTGTCCTTACATATGGAAATAAAGTTTTCAAAATATTCTAAAAGAAGATTTCCACTTACATTATTTATCTTTCATTCAAAAATTTATCTTTTATAAAACATATATTAATAAAAATACAAAATAACTAGTTCTTCATTTATTTATCTCGTACTCTCTTTATTATCTCACACTCAATTTCATTTACCAATAGTTTAATTAAATCCTACATCCCAAATTTTAATACTTCAAAAATAGAATAACAATTCCGCAAATATGAGTTGGCATGTTAACTAGGGCGGTATGATCGTCCTTTTGCGTTTGAGTTTGATTCTCCTTCCCAATAGATTATATAATTTATAATGCAAAATAGTATTGCCAAAAAAATCTAATCAAAAGTCTTAAAGATAAGAAAGATAAAGATTCAGAAAAGCATGTTTGCACGTGTGTTAGCACATTTAGGCTATTATAAGCTGAGTTTCCTGCACTCGAAGGTTCTTTGGTACTTATATTGTTAATGAAATGGTGTCACAATTTATGCAACAAACTAACAATGATACTGAAATTTAAGTCTAAATGTAATGAACACAAGTGCAACGAAGACATGTAACATGTCATCATATAACCATTTTTTCATATAGAAAAACTAGTTTTTGTATCCATTCTGAACTAAGGCCATCTCTAACCGAAAGATGGTCAAATGGCTCGTTTTAGCCTTATAGCCTTTCAAGAAATTAATATTTTAATTAATAGTGCATGGCCATATTTCTTACTATCTCCAACCGATGGGCCAAATGGTCATAGGCTAAACATAGCTATGTGATAAAAAACCATCTCCAACTGAGTGGCCAAAAGGCCATAGGTCCAAATATAATTTATTATTTAAATTTAAAAATTACAAATTAAATTTAAAAACTACAACAACTTAAATTTAAAGTCTAAAATTATCATCATCATCATCATCATCATCATCCGCCATTATAGGATGATAGTCGGAGGTAAACAATTGTCGTTGGGTCCAAACCCTACTTTTCATTGCAGATGTGTCCATTTGAAAATTTGAAAGATGTAAGAAAATAGAATATGATTAATTGAAATAGAATGAAGTGAGATAGTATGGAATGGTGAAAATAATGTGAGAAATGGTGTAGGAATGACTTAGGTATTTATAGGAAAAAATGAGAATTTTTTTTTGTTTTTAAATTTGGCCAGAAAATAAAATAAAATAAAAATCAAATCCAATGGTAACTGACATCAGCATGATGTCAGTTACCGTTGGATTCAAATATGTGGCCCAGCCTGGGGCTAGCTAGTTGGCTCCTTTGGGCCAACTGGTTGGCCATTTTCTCTTTTTTTTTGGCCCGGTGGGATCCACGAGCCCTTTGGCACAACCCTTGGTTATAGACCGTTTTTGTGTCATTTTAGATTATTTTCGGCCATCTGGCTAGATCGATTAGAGATGACCTAACTTTATGGTTAATTACTCTTGTTGATTAAACCACGTTGTAGTTTCTGTACAACATGTCAATCATATGTTCTATCTTATTTGAGAGAGATTTTTCAATGTAACCGAAACCCGAGATGATACATTACGTGTTATTATACAAATGATGATATATGTGTTTTAAAAAATTAATAATTTAAAAAATAAAATTTTCTACCACTTATATAAAAACACTGATGTACTAGTCTTATTCCAGTCACAATAAAAAATTTCTCCTTATTTGGACCCTTTCTTTTATTGTTTTTAATTATTCAATGTCCTTATTTGCATGAACTCGAAAAATAAAATCAGCTCAATTCCAGAACACAAAAACCCAAATTACAAAAAAAAAAAAAAAAAACCCAAAATTAAAATTCTTCTCTGTAATTCAGCATCTTCACTGCCCCATTTTTCTAACCCAATTGGGCATCTCTTCCCAATTGTTTAACCAGAGAAGATAATGAAGTGGGAGAGGGTGCAGCTGCAGCCCAAGCAAGCTCACCTGCAGCAAGAAAGAGTGGCGGCGGCGGCGGCGGAGGTGCATGGCCCCGGGAAGCGGTGGGGCCACACCTGCAATGCAATCAACGAAGGGCGGTTGCTGTATGTAATCGGTGGCTATGGCAGAGAAAACTGCCCAACCAATGAAGTTCACGTCTTTGACACTGGTGGGTCTTCCCCAAATGCTAAAAATTTACCTAGATTATTCGTTTAATTTTTGTTTTTACCCTTTTTTTCCATGTGGGTTTGTGTAATGTTGGTTGCTGGTGATTTTTCTGGGAAAAAGTTTGAATCTTTATGTAACTAACCATGTTGAATAATGTTTAAGGGGTTTTTAGTTGGCTTGTAATTAGGGTTTTGAAGGGTTTAATTTCGTAAAATTTGGTCTTGTTTTGGAAAATTGGAATCAAATTTTGTGATGGGTTAATTGTTCTGCAACAATTCTTGAGTAAATGCTTCATAGGGTTATGCTATTGAATTTTGATTGCTAGAGGTTTCATTGGTTTTACTTTAGGCACACAAGCTATAAGCTTTTTTCTGCTATTGTATTTTAAAAGAGATTACATTGGGGCAGCTAAAAACCGTCGTTTGATGAGCCTGCGTAGTATTAGGTGGTTGGTAACATCCCAAGGTGGTTTTCTTTGTATCTTTACTGTTTGTTATTTGTCTTTGTTATAAAATTTGAATAGTGCTACGATGAGCTCTTTAATTTTGTTTCAAATTTTCCTGTAGATGTTAACTACTAGCACTCTGCATTTTTCTGTGTGTTGTTGCATTTTATATAGAGATTGTTTTTGAGATTGTTAGTTCTCTTATTCTGCTGACTGCAGCTACACATTCATGGAGCCAGCCAGCGATCAAAGGAACCCCGCCAACTCCAAGGGATAGCCACAGCTGCACCACTGTTGGTGATAATCTCTTCGTCTTTGGGGGTACGGATGGGATGAACCCTCTTGGGGATTTGCATATATTAGACACCTGTGAGTGACTTTCTCTCTTATATTTTTGCTTTTTCCCTAGCGATGATATCTTTTCTTGACTACATAGCATGCTCACCCTTATATATGTTATTTTGGGTCAAGTAATTCAATCAGATGATTCCTTTTCGGAAAATAAATAATTCAATCAGACGATTCTAAGTCCAGGGTGACAATTGACTTATTTCCTTATCCATTTTGGATTGGTATATCGAAGAGTTGAAACTAGATATACTCAATTCTCAACATTTACTAACACTGTTACCATTTAGGGCTTATATCGAATTCGTTATTATTGATTTTCGAACTACGTAACCAGATTTATTCAATTCTCAACACTTATTGACACTGCGGCCTTTTAAGGTTATAGCAAATTCTTTATTATTGATTTCTGAACTATGCGTACCACCAATGTGCCCGCTTATGGTCTTAATGTTTGTGTAGCTTTACATACATGGATATCTCCAAGTTTAAGAGGTGAAGGACCAGAGGCACGAGATGGTCATGGTGCTGCCCTTGTTGGGAAACGGCTATTTATATTTGGTGGCTGTGGAAAATATGCTAGTAGTGACAATGAAGTGTACTTCAATGATCTTTACATTTTGAATACAGGTAGGTTTCCATGTAACGTTAGTACATTCATCACTTAAGTGATGATTGGTTTGAACTACTTTCGTCACACTTTTTTCTGACAGTAATTGTGCATTTACATCACACTGATCTTACGAGTTTATTTGCTTGATATATCTCACTTTAGTAAAGTCTATAACTATTATGTGCGTCTTGCTAACAGTTTTGTTGTTAAAATATAATGATTATGCATTTGCATGGTACCACTCGCATTGATCTTATGAGTTAACTTATTTGCATGTCCTCTTTCTCTTGTCGTGCTGTGAGTTTATAGGATTGCACAGGGTCATCTCTGTCACCTTGTTCTTTTTAGAATCTAGAGTGGGAGGAAGACGAGAGGGAGTGTTCTAGGTGTAGGACATCACATTCAGTTTTTAATTGCCTTGGGGGTCTACATTTACCTAGAACCTGACCACTCGACTTAACTAGGTCACTCATCAATACAGATAGCACATAAGACATGTTTAATCCATTTTCTTATCCTATCTTGTAGAGACATTTGTATGGAAACGTGCTACAACATCAGGCAACCCACCATCTCTGCGTGATAGCCATACTTGTTCATCTTGGAAGAACAAACTAATTGTGATGGGTGGTGAAGATGCGCACAATTACTATTTGTCTGATGTCCATATACTTGATACAGGTATCATTATTTTCAGAAATTTCTTTGCCCAATTGCAAGTTTATTAAAGTTTTTACGTAATTTAGATACCAATAGTAAGTAGTACCTAGCTTCTGGATATTGTATATGATATATACCTTCTGTAACTCTTGTATTATGGTACTTCATTAGATACTCTAATTTGGAGGGAGCTGAAAACTACTGGCCAGTTTATGACACCCCGAGCGGGTCATTACTATTGCTTTTGGGAAGAACTTATTTGTTTTTGGGGGGTTCACAGACTCTCAAAATCTATATGGTGACCTTTACATGCTTGATGTTGGTAAGTTTCAAGAAATTCTCGAAAACATTCACCTTTGGCTATTTACTTTTATGGCTTGTTTGAAGCTTCTCAACCTTCTTGTCCATCCACCTTTGGTTACATGTACTTTATGTTCTTTCCGTTGCTCTAATTTTTATGGAATTGTATCCTTAGATACCCACTCTATCTTAACTGTGGTGCAGATACTGCTGTGTGGACCAAGGTGCTAACTGCTGGTGATGGGCCTTCTGCTAGATTTTCTGTTGCTGGGGACTGTTTGGATCCTGTCAAGGGAGGTGTTCTTGTATTTATTGGTGGTTGCAATAAAGGTCTTGAGGCACTGGATGATATGTTTTACCTAAACACAGGTTAAGTATCATCTTTCCAATCCCCCCACCACCGCCTCCCCGAAGTATCAATATAGTCTAATTAGGGTAAAATTTCATGTGTATGGAATCTGAGAGTCTTACCGGCCTGATATATTTTCTAATTTTAGGACTTGAAAGGAAGCTAGAGAAATTATCGCTGAGGAAGCAGTTGAAGCTAAAGTGCCAAGAGCAAAATCTCGCTTCTGTTCACGACAGAGCTCTTGGTCCGGTTGGAACTAGTGCTGATATGAGCCAACCCATGCCAGTTCCATATGACCAACCATGTAAGTGATATTTACTAAGATAAAGTGTCCTGTTTTTCATTTTTTTTTATGCATCAAAATTTACCTTTTTTTTTTTCAAATTTGCAAACTCCTAAGTTATTTAGAGGCAGGGAAAGCTGTCTAACCCTAGGAAGTTCTCGCTCACTCTTTTCCTTTTTTTTTTTTTTTTTTTTTTTTTGTCACCATCCAATATTCTTCTTGAATACAAATTTCATAATTTTAATGAAAGCAGTCATTGTGACCAAGTTAATGTATTCAGCAAACAGAAAAATGGAAAAAAAAAATGTAACCGAAACAAAAAAGAAAAAAATCACTGGTTGAATATGTACTTTGAGGAGGGATTTTGATGTCTTTTACAAATGATCTTGTGCTATAGCTGCAGGCAGACAGGATATCCCATTGAATCAATCTGAGCTTGATTCGGGGAAGAAGACATTTGTTGGAAAGGTTACTGACAAACTTGCTGATGGATATGCAATTGAAACTGTTATGGACGGAAAGCTTCTTCGTGGTATAGTGTTTCCCAACCAGCCAGGGTTTAACGTTGATATTCCTAGTTCCAGCAGGTAAGAATTTGGTGATCTCTGTGTGTGTGTTTTGCTGAGGAATATTACTTTTATACTTGAATATCAATCACTATACTGCGTTTTCCTAGAATATTTTAATTCAACTTTGATCATGTAAATCGCTTATCAGGAAGCGGACTGCCGGTGAAGCTGGTGGTTTGATGTCAAATGGTGATTACAGCAGCAACTCAAAAACTTCTAGAGGCATCAGGCAAGAAATAATAGATCCGACGGATAATGTTCATGGAAAGGCGCCCATATCTCATGAACAGACAGAAGCCGCTGCAGCTTCCATTTCAAACAATCAAGCATATTCGGCCGCTTCTCACTTGCATAAGGTCTGATCCTTCTTTCCCTTGTTTGTCCTGTGCACACTGAATGCTATCTGTTGTAGGATATATTTTCGACCTAAACCCCTGGACTCTTATGCAGGATACTGGAAACCCTGAGCAGTCAGTGGTTCTGTCAGTGGTTCCTTTGAATCTGAGTAAAAATCAGACCAATGATGCTCCAAACTCCAACTCTGAAGTTCTGGGAGACATCAGGACTCATAGGACAACTGATGCACCAAATTTCAACTCTGAAGTTACAAAGGAAAGTTTGTCTGCCTCAGCTAATTCCGCTGCTGCTTCATCCCTAAACCAAGGTAGGAATGTAATGAGATTTATGACGTATTTGGTTTGCTACAGGTTCATTAGCATTGTACGCAAATGCTTATGCTTACTGCAACAAGTTATGCCAATTGCTAAAGCAACCTGTACCATCGTCTCTTACTGATCTTCTGATGACCTAACTTGGCCGTCTAATGTTCTGCTGGCAGGTGACGGGAAACTAACACCGGATGGACAGAACGACGCAGCATCCATTTGAAAGAGTTTGGTTGAGGATAGCTTCTGAACATAACCAGAAATGAAAAGCCACCGGCTATCTGTACATTCATCATGTGAAGGAGATCTTAGATGCCTACGACGGGAGATACAGAATTTTCCTACCGGTGTTATCTGCAAACCTCCTATAACAGTCGTAGGTCAAAAACTCTAGTTTATAGCGCTCATCAAAACTCCGGCGAATTCTCAGTTAGGCCCTTCTCCCAATTGAAAGGGGAAAAAAGAGGCGGTTTTTGCTTATAAGAAGTTGGGCAACTCTTTTAGGTTTAATCTCCTTGAGATGTGAAAATTTAGCTTAAATTTTACTTTCCTTGTTATTGTTTACAGTCTCCGTTAGATGGAAATTAGTTACCTGGATAATTTTCTCTGGTTTTATATTTGTACTTATTTGGGACATGAATTTACCCCATATGATCTCACCCAATACGAAAGAGTAGGGAGAAAAAATGTTCGTCCCGGAGGTGTTTTTCAAGAACCCTGTACAAATTTTGAGCACAAAAATGGAGGGACACATCTTGTGACATCCCACATCGTCTAAAGGAGTGATCCTTAAATGTATATTTACATCCCTATCTAGCACGATACCTTTTAGGAGCTCACTGGTTTCGGATTTTGTATGAACTCCGAAGTTAAGTGAGAAAGAGGCCTAAGCACTCCCAGGATGAGTGACCCACTGGGAAGTTGCTCGTGAGTTCTCAAAAGTTGCTTGTGAGTTTCCAAAAACAAAACCGTGAGAGAATGGTAAGTTTAAAACGGATAATATCGTGCTACGATGGTAAAACGGGCCCGAGATGTGGTGGACCCGAGCCGGGATGTGACACATCTCGTGTGCTTCTTTCCTTCCAAATAGAATCTAAGAAACTTGTATAACATGTAGTGCAATTGGGAACGATTATATTATCGGCCAACTTAACTCAAAAGTTTTAGCAGCATAAAAGCTTAAACCCAACAAATCTCTGCCACAGGAAGTGCTAGAATGTTACAAGAGAAATCATCCACAGAGGGTCCAAATCCCCGCCAAACTGACGATTCCAACTTTAGCGGCGTGAGGTTTCACTTGCCGCCACCACCACCAGCTCCAAACAGGTAGTCTAGGGATGATCCACCACCCGGAGCTGCGTGCACTTTTGTTGATGGGCGATCCTGTCAACCAAATTTTTGAAACCGTGAATACCAAAACTTAAGGGGGTAGTAAAAGTAAGATAAAGAGCATTTAAACTTCCTTTCTAACATCAGAAAGTATGCAGATCTGCGAATTACAGACTGCGAACAACCTATTCACGAGGGAAACAAAAATGTAGGCGAATAAATTTCTACCGAAATGGAGACAGAATTCTTAATTAGCATCAATGTGCTTGTTCTACCTTTCGTTCAGATCATAGCCCTAATAGTTAGTGTAAGGAAGCATATTGTTTGCCACAATTTATAAAATTTCATGCATTGACATATGATTTAGAGCAAAACATGACTATGAATAAAGATCATACTGTGATGAAGTTCCCGCAGTTCTGGCCATCAGCTCGGAAATAGTTGTTTGAGGTGTTCCCTGGAACGCCAGCAGGAATCTCCTTATTGACTTCTGCAGGTGGTGCGGAAGCAGTAGGCTTCTGAGCAGGTGATTCAGTGGTTGGAACCGGGGCCTGGTTCTGAGGAGCTGTAACCTTTTTCGGGGCAGGAGTCTGAGTTTCTTCTCCACCCCCAAACAGGTAGCCCAAAGAACTCTCTCCACCTCCGCTGCTGACTCCACGACCCATCTTCCTCGCCTCGAATGAATGGATACTGCACACATTTTCTCAACCAATTAAATAACAACGAATGAAACTAACACAAAGCAATACAACAACAAATCATTTTCCCGGCTATATAAATCCTATAATGCCATTGTGCTCGGTTCTGTGAACACAAAGCAATACCAACCAAAAAGTAATCAGGAATCACAACGAAAGCAAGAAAATACCATCTCACGTTACACCGTTCTAATCAATATCCATTTTCCGGGGATTATCTCCGATATATTTTGTGCTTTTACGCCACAATTCATGTTTCCAGATCTAGAAATTCATATTTTTCATTAAATTAAAAATGATTAAAACCCAACCTTGCCAATAATGCCACTCGGAGATCTCATATCAATACTAACTGAACACGAAATTCCATTTCTCGGTCAAATTGAACTCAAAAGTCCGAGTGCGAAATCTGACCCGAAAACAGTAATGAAAGATCGATTCAAGCTATTGAAAATTTGCAATTAATCAGCTTTATTAAACAAACTCACGCATCTGCAATCTGAAAAGTTGTAGCCAAATCAATAAGAATCAAAATTAAGCAAAGAAAATGCACAATGTAAAATTCCGATACAGATTCACCAAATCAAGAGTAAATTATTCCAATTAGCTAATTTCAGATGGTTTCATAGCACATTTTCCTGCATTTTCTCGGGAAACAAACAGTAGGTAGCGAGCGAGAGGGAGAGAGAGAGTGTTACCTGTGGGTGCGTTGCGTTGTTTGGACTTCAGATCTGAGTCGCAAGAGCACTGAGTAGTAAAGCAAGCGGCAACTTTCTATATTTATACTGAAATTCAAATCGCATGCGCTGGGGCCCATAACGAGAAGATATTTTTGGAATGGATTCGTTTTTCTAGGAAAAGGATTTTCCTCTAAATTTGGAGGATGATAATGGTCGTTTGTACATTATGCGATCAGTTTTCGTTAGTTACTATTTATATTTAATATTAAACTTTAACTTTTAAATGATTTCTAACTGCACGATGTATGATGAATGAACATAATCATTGGATCCCCAAGAAAAGGATCCGACCGTTTTTCTTAGTTAAGTTATATATTTTACTTTAATTCAAATTACTTAAAAGGTGAAGTTATTGATAACATTTTTAGGGTGCCGTGAATATAGCTTGGTGCAAGTATAATAATATAATAGCTTGAAAATTTAAGAAAAATAAATTTTGACAAGTTGTATTATGACATTCTGTGTTCCAAACCGTATTCTTAGCATACTGAAAAGTTTCTCACAATTAGTGTCTCACATTGTCTGAATTGTGTTAAAAAGATGGCAACCATGCTTACGTGGCAGAGTAATATAACGATTTCTTCCTTGTTGGCAATAAGAACCCATTTGTTGGGAATGAGTTCCAATCTAGATCTCTGTGTATGGAGTTCATAGACCGAGAGATCAAGCTCGTTCAAGAGAAAAAAAGATATCCAAACAATTTAAGTTTTTGAGTTTATATAAAGTGAGTTAGTGTGATAAGTTAATAAGAACACAGAATCCGTATTGGACCTCGAGCCATTTGTTGGGAATTCTCAAGTCTTGCCAATAATAATCTGCCACATGTATTACTTTCAATTAGACTCTCAACACCACATGTATTGCCCTCCATGGTTAGTTTCGGGAAGAGATCCCCTTCGGATCTCTCCCACGAAAACCACATAATCAATTAATCCAGACCCTTGAAATTTGTTTAAACGACTAAAATTATTATAACTTTTAACGGGCCCCATGTTTGTAGTCGTTTGATCAAATTTCAAGGGCCCGAATTAGTTGATTGTGTGGTTTTGGTGGCAGAGATTCAGAGGGGATCTCTTCCCGTTAGTTTCGGGTTGTATGTCGGGAATATGGAAATTCTTCCACGCACATTATTCTTCACTTAATTAGTTAAATCTCAACCGTTCACACGTAAAGTAAAAATATGGAGGTGAGAAGAAACTCGTGGGGATGTATCAACATTTGGGCCATTGCCCTAAAAATAACAATTTGGGCCAAATGAGACCTTATCAGCAGCCCATTAGCTGAAAACAACAATAAATATGGCCAGTGCAGAAATTAATTAGGCCCCATAAAAACAAAAATTAATTTTGAGTAAAATGACGAAATTACCCACCTATGGGAACAGGATAATAGGTAGCCGCGCGTCGAACGAAGCGAAAAGCAGTTAGAAAGTCCAATTGCCAATTGTACCAGCACCTCAGCACCCCACTCGCCGCCGCTTCAACTCCCTCCGCCGCCTCATTAATTTTCCTCTCTTCTTCTGCTTCTTCTCTCCGCCGCCGATTCGGTTGCTCCTCGCGGCTTCCCTTAATTCCGCCGTCAGAGATCTGCTTCGCACTGATACTGCCGATTGAACAGAGGTCGGTGCTCCGTTGACTACTATTTTCTTCATATCTTGAAACGTCTGATAAATATTTGATTAATTATCGAATTAATTGCGTTTTTGGGTTACTAATTCCAATCCTGTTTTCTTCGGGTCAGATTATCTTGTTTTTATTTCTATCTGTTGTTGATTAGCTTCCGAATGGTGATTCTGTTATTGCTTTGAAATGAATTTTGAACTGTTGATTTGATTGATTTATTGTTTGTGAATGCATTTTCTTGGGTGCTCAATTCTGGGCATATCAGCTGACTGAATGCGATTTTCGGGTTTTCAATCTGGATTAAATTCTTCATTAGGATAAGAAAACTACTTAATCCCAATGTTAACATGAAGAAAATTACTTAATCCCATTGCTATATGAAGAAAATTACTTAATCCCATTGCTATATGAAGAAAATTACTTAATCCCATCTCACTTCTGTGTGTATCAGCTGATTGAGTGCAATTTTCGGACTTTCGATGTTAGAAAGTTTCAATTTCTTTATTAGAATAAGTAAATTACTTCATCCCTTTGTTAATGCAAAGCAAACTACTTAATTCCATTTTTATATGAAGCAAATTACCTAATCCCATTGTTATATGACTGCTGAAGAATTAAGTCTCTTAGTAGTAGCGGAGGTTGGTCGTCAGGTAGAAGTTTCCCAATCAGCTCCATGGATTCTTTAGTTCAGTTTATTCCTTTTATCATTTGCTATGTTGTTTAATTTATATGACGGTAGTGATTTTAACTGAATATGCATATAACAACCTACAGTTCCGGGTTTTATGCATATGTGAATATGCACCCTGGACTGATTCATTTACTACTTTATTATGATTTTTTAATTGCATTCAATTCGATATGAAATTTGTAAATTTGAAATCCAAGCATGCGTTTAATGATATTGGTTTCCGGATGTTATATCTCTATTTTAATGAATTAGCTTATTTTTCTTTATTACTTGTGGAAAATGCATAAATGTCTTACAAATCTGATTTTTTGTTTATGTTGACCATTCTTTCAGGTGTTAGAAAAATTATTGTGAAGACCATTTTAGTTGACAATGCTTGGATTCAAGGAGAAGATTTCCCCAGTCATTAGCTACTGATCAATATGGAAACTGCAGAGTGTAGTGAAAAACCAAATTCACAGTCAGGAAGGGAGGACTCAGAGAAGCTCAGCGAGTCCAGGAACGATGCTCTGTTGGAGGAGCCTTCAGTAAATCTTAGTGCAGATTTGCCTCTAGCTGAAGCCCTGCCTTCTGTACTGCCAAAGAGACAGCGGAATAGATCTAGGAGTAGTAGTGCTAAAGTTATTAATAATTTAGATCTTGATTTAAGTGATAATACAGATTCAGTTCCAGTGCAAGCCTTGGAAATTCTGGTAAATCCGGTGGAATCCCAGCATAATGTGCAGAGGAGCCATTCCCCAAGTCCTGATGATTCAGATCTATGTTGTTTGAAGGGGACACTTTCAGTTGAGAGTATTACTCCTGAAAAAAATTCTTGTGTGCAGTCGTTGGGTAGGGATGCACATCAGGATTCTTCACTTGGGACTGATACACTGTTGGAGGATCCTTCAATGAGTATCGTTTCAGATTTGGTACCAGCTGAGTTACCGCCTTATGGAGACTTGAGTAATAGGAAGAGAAAGAAGGATATGATAAGTGTTGCCCCAGAATCTGAAGATTCATGCCCTGAGTCTTGTGTTGAAATTTGCACGGCAGTTTCAGAAAAGGAAGGACATCAAGAAGATTTGCTTCACAAACAAAAAAAGAAGAGAAATAAGCAGAATCAAAGGCATGAAATCCATGAGAATAATGATAAAAGTTGCGATATTTCTGTTGATACTTCTTTAGGGGAAACTATTATTCCAACAGTAGACCAGTCTGTAAAACCTTCTGTTGCAGGATTCTCCAAACAAGTGCTACAGGTGGCAAAGTCACAACCACCTATGGAGGGAATTAGTACAGATGAAAACTCAAAAATTGCTGAACCTATTGAAGATTTGAGTTGCTCAATGAAAAAGAAGAAAAATTGTAAAAGTAAAACCCGTGAGGGTAATGATGAAAATTGTGGTAATGACAAAAGTTGTGAGCTTTCTGTTGGTATTTCTGTAGTGGAAAGTGTTATGCCAGGAGTAGATCCGTCTCAACAGCCTCCAGTCTCAGAATCATTGGAACAAAAGCTCGAATTGACGCAACCACTTATGGAAGGAATTATTACGAAAATTAATTCAGAAAGTTCTGAACCTATTGAAGATTTGAGTTCCTCAAGCAAAAAGCAGAAAAAGCCTCGGTGGAAAAAGTCTAATGATGAAAGTTGTGGTAATGACAAAAGTGGTGAGCTTTCAATTGGTATTTCTTTAGTGGAAAGTATTATGCCAGGAATAGATCCCTCTCAGCAGCCTCCAGATTCAGAATTCTCAGATGAAAAACTAGATTTGTCACAAGCATTTGTGGAGGGAAATTGCACGACAGTAAGCTCAGAAGGTCCCAAGTCGCCTACTGTGGACTTGAGTTGCTCACAAGAACAGAAGAATAAGAATCGAAAGAGAAGGCATAAAACCAATGAGTGTATTGGTGAAAGATGTGATCTTTCTGTTGATGCTTCTTTAGGAGGAAATACTATGCCAGGAGTAGATCTGACTGTACGGCCTCCAGTTGCAGTGTTCTCGGAACAAGATCTAGAAGTGGAACAACCACTTGTGGAGGGAATTAGACAGAGAACCAATTCTGAGAGTACCAAACCCTATGAAGTTTTGAGTTGCTCACAAAAGAGAGAGTGTCTGAAGAAAAGGCTTGAAATGGGTGAGAGTAATGATACAAGTTGTGATCCTTCTGTTGGTACTTTAGTGGAGAAGATTATTCCAGGAGCAGATCCATCTCTACAGCCTCCGCTCGCAATAGTATCAGACCCAGAGCTCGATGTGTCTCAATTACTTTTGGAGGAAAGGACCTTACAGGAGCAAAATGAGGACAAGGATCAGAACAAGAGCTGTAATGCCTCAGGAAATAACGACACTAACCACCAAGTTTGCACTGGCTTTCCTTGCCAAGTTGTAAATGATGTTACTGATATAAAAGAATATTCTCCTATCCTCAAGGAACAAAATGGTCTACAAAAGAGTGCAGATGCTGGTTCAAGGAATAAAATTAACATGGAGGTTAGTGGCACTAAATCATATTGTTCAGATGCTTTTCCTGAATCTGACAATATTACTGATACAGAATGCACGGAAGCCAAAATTGAAGATCCTTCCTTGCCATCTTCGTCCGTAAAAGCTGATGTTGATTTGGCTGTTGTCGCGAAGGAGGGCAGTTGTTCACAGATATCAAACTCTGCTGTTGAAAGACCTCTTGTTAGTGTTTCTAAGAAAAAGCTTCTCATTCTTGATGTAAACGGGCTTCTTGCTGATATTGTTCAATTGGTTTCCGAGCAATATAAATTATATAGACCAGACACAACAATATCGAGGAAATCAGGTGATAATTTACATTTGAATGTATCTGGAGAGATACTTTTCTACCCTTACTGAAATCTAATCCCCACTTGTTTGTTCACAGTTTTTAAGAGGCCGTGTTGTGATTCTTTTCTACAATTCTGCTTTGACAATTTTAACGTGGGTGTTTGGTCTTCAAGAACCGAGTAAACTTCATTCTAGGACTGATACACCTGTTCCTTCTCTCATTTCTTTTTTTGGTTGGGTTATGATCTTTTACACTTGCCTTTTCAGGAAGAACGTGGAAATGGTGGTAGATTATCTTTGGGGAGATTCCAGAAAGAAATTGCTTTTTTGCTGGGTAAAACCATCTTAACCACTTAAGGACTTCTTCAGTATAGTTTGTTGAGTTAGGATAATCTTCTGTATTCTAACTTATTCAGTAAAGTAATTCAGTGTTACTTTAGCAATTTGTAGAACTTGTCTTTTGGATGCAATCAAGTCATCATTGCATTGAATTTCAGTTATATTGCTTTATTCTTACGGTGATTGGCGTGTGCAGAATCAATCCCACTGTACTACTACGAAGTTCAATACTCTTGACAACGAGGAAAAACCCCTTGTTTTGAAAGAACTTAAAAAGTTATGGGAGAAGCATGATCCTGATCTTCCTTGGGCGAGGGGAGAGTACAACGAGACAAACACATTATTAGTGGATGATTCACCATACAAAGCTTTATGCAATCCAGTTAGTTGATTAACTTGTTCCTCCTTATTTCTTCACTCATGGACATTACTGGTTTTAGTACAATGGTTACAACCTGAAACTAATACTTTTGTTTCTGATTGCTTAGGAGAACACAGCAATATTTCCCTACCCCTTTCGATTCAAGGATCGAAGAGATAGATCACTAGGTGAGATACCATTCAAGTTTTTGTTGTATTGGAAATGTAAGATCATTGGATGCACCTATATCACACATTCTAGCCTCACTCACATTTGCATTACACATGGTCGATCTCAATTAAAATAATTACGTAGGTTATAATTTGATTCAGGTTTGGACCTATTCTTGTCATTATGTCTTTCAAGTATTATGCGCGTTTGTGTGGCTTCACATCTTTGTGTTTGAGTTTGTAATTTTCAGTTTATCTACCCTCAACCTCGATGTTCTTGTTCACTTCTCTAAGTAGTACTCGCTTTTACTTCTAAGTATTTACGATGTTAGTGGTGTTAAATTTTAGCGTCCAGGTGTTTTATTACGGTTTCTTGTCTTTTGCACATTGTCATCACAGGGGAAGGAGGCGATATTCGTTATTATCTGGAAAGATTAGTTGAGGCTCAAAATGTTCAAGAATACGTGAAGCAGCATCCATTTGGCCAACGCCCCATAACAACAAAAAGTCGTTCATGGATATTTTATCGTCAAGTTATAGAGGATCAAGCAGTGTCACCCAAAAATTGATACCATTACTGGCAGGCGGAGTTGCAGTTGGCTAAAGTTACCCAGGAAACGGGTTCGTGGGTCGATTTTTCAGTTCTAATTCACCTCTTTTTGTACCAAAATATGGCAATGAATAATTGTGTAAGTTTTATTGGCAACCCACATGGAACCCTTTGCTCCCAGCCAAGATAAAATTGTTCGGCAGCTCCATCTTGAGAATCCTCTCTTGTACCCTGGATCCTTCGATGTTTTTTGCTTCCTAACGGTGCGGTGCAGTTCTAACGTGTAAAAGTATGATTCATTGTTTTGTTTCAGTTTTTGTTTACCAAGCATACAGAGCTAGAAGGATATAGCGTTTTACTCGACTTAGGTAAGAAATACGATATCTTCTATCTTCAAAGAGTTTGCTACTGAATTTTGTCGTTTTAGTTATATACAGGTTTTATATACAAGCGATATTCTTATTGTGTTCGATTAGTTGGTTATATGTTTCATACGACTTAGCAGATTCCTGTTTATAGTGTGCTAATGTGTTGATGTTTCATCACCGCGCATGTAACTCATGTGGTTCAGAACATTTACCTCCCACCCGGGATGGTGAGTTTGAATCTCCTCCTCCCGGAATATGGTTCTCTTGTACTTGAGCAATCATGGACCCAAGGACCTTCATTTGTGTATCAGAATCCGTAGCCTGACTTACTGCCTTGGGTCTCATCAAGATCACAAACTCTCGTCGTTAGATCGCGGTTTGCTAACCTTTTCACGCACAAATCTTCCGTCGTATTGTTCAACTCTTGTTCCATCTGCACAAAGTCGTCAAACGAGATGTCACCATAACCCTAGATGATCGCAATTGGTTACAGAAATTCACATAAAGTGTTCGTATCGTATGTATGGTTTCAAATTTTGATATAATAATTGTTCACTGAAAAACCATTGAACTTGTTTGTACCTCGTTGCCGTTATTTTCATTGAGGGAAGCCCTTTTCATTTGGAGGTTCAGTGAGTACGAGTGAGGATTAACGAGATATGAACTCGTATGAAGATGCTGCGAATCAATTTGTCTGCAATCCTCTTTTGGCCCCGGCCAGACGTGAAAATGCACCGTTGTTACAGGCTTCTCAGACGAGTAACGGTGGGGCAGGCTCGAAGTTGATGGTGGATTCACATCGCGCCCACAGGCTAGAAATCTGCATGAAGAGGACAGTGAGAGTAAGATAGAAAATGTAGCACAACCGCCACCCGAGAGGGTAAGGGATAGGCGGGACTGCACAGAGTGCTTTGGCATGAAGATCATGTTGCAAAAAGATATGCTGTGAGCTGGTCGGATGCTTGAAGGACTAGCAAAAGCTCCAATCTCTCACACACAGCCTCATCGAGAATTGAGTCATCTGGTTATTGTTTCATGTGACATACCAGAGTCGAAGACTCTGGTAAAGCAGATGCCGAATGCCCTTCAAGGTACAGTAGAACCTTAATCTCACTAGAAAGATTAGATAGATTTGAATTAGTGGTGAACGTATTTGCATCTAGAAACAGTTTTTTTCTCTTGTCCATGAAATCCGACTTAAATACTTCTTTGGAATACAGGCAATGGTGCCGAAGATTCCAACCACAGCGAAGGTGAAGATCAATGGAATCCTGCAGGTAAGCTTGACAGCATGGAATCTGGTCTTACATCGGAAATCAATCGTATGAAATTGAAGAACATTGAAAACTTAGTTCTGAAGCTTAGACGATTGAACTATAATCACGATGAAGCAAGAACATACTACATTGCATCGCTCTGCGAGAACACAAATCCAGACCACAGATACATTTCTGAGATATTGTTAGCTTCAGGCCTCCTACTCAGAGACCTCGGCTCCAGCTTGACAACATTTCAGCTCCATCCCTCAGGCCATCCCATCAACCCTGAGTTGTTCTATGTTTTGGAGCAAACCAAGGCAAGCAGTTTGCTTGCAAAAGAAGAATGCATCCCTGATAAGGTAACCCTTGCAAAGCAAGAGAAAGAGAAATCTCATCGAAAACTCATATTTGACGCTGTCAATGAGATTGTTGTTCACAAGTTGGATTCAGCTGGTATCTCTCCCGTCCACGGCGGAGCCAGCATGGGATCACTGGTTGTCCTTGACTCCAATAACTTCAAAAATCTCATGTATATTTGTTTGTATATTGTATTTGACGCGTATAAACAGCTAAAACAAACTAAATTACAACCTTATTTTCCTATATGTCTATTTTCTTCTATCACATTTGTCTTCCTTTTCTCTCCTCTTGCATGAAGTACTTTAGTCGAAAAACCTTGACAGTCTTCAACATTACTCCATAATATCCTGCATCTACCCTTAACAAGCTTCTGCAAATAAGAATAGTTGTCGATATATGTTGGCATAAACTTTCAGCATATGTTGACAAGAATTGACAGGTACCTACTAGGTGCTTGACGAGATGGCCCAATGAAGCTTTTTGGTTGATAATATGACCCTAGTATTTGAAAATCCTGGCTACGCCACTCCCTCCCGTGCGATGGTTGAAGCCTAACAAGCTCGCAAAGAAGACCGTCAACGCACAAAAACTTCTGAAGGAACTGTCTAGCGAGATAGAACAATTGCAAGCCAAGAAACCGGAGTGCAGCTTAGAGGACGAGGATGATGGTTTGAAAAACATACAGTGGGAGGATGTGGTGCAAACCGGTCAGAAAGCTGGACAGTTTTTCCATGGTGACACGTCCGGAGTAGTGTTAGATGTTGAACGATTGATCTTCAAGGACCTGGTTAACGAAATCGTTATTGGTGAGGCAGCAGCATAATAAATTGTGTATAAGATCCACCGTTCTTAATGCTGGGTTTGTAACGAAGTTAACTTGTAAAAGTCCTTAAAAAGATAAACTTGTATTTGAAATCAATATATAAGATCCTTTTTTCTTCCCTCTCCACTTTCCACTTCCCTTTCAAACATGCTATGTGTGGGTTGATCATATCATATTTTCTTATCCGAAGGCGAGTTTTCAAAAAACTGCTCGAGTTTTAACTAAAACGGGTCTCTGGGGTTGTATTGACTGGTTGAAAGGTTTGTAAATGAACGTTGTTTTATTAACCGTTGGTATTGGATTCAAGGGATTAATAGCAAAACATTGCATAGCATACATGTTCCATCTAACCTAGCACAATCTAATAAACAATTTTCCAACCACTTGTGCTTTTATTTTTATTTTTCTAATACAACCATTTGCACATTAGGTTACTGATTAAATCCGGAAAATTAATTTTGCTAATGGTCAACTAATGATTGCGTAGTCTGGAAGGAAAAAAAACAAGTCATTCGCAAATTAATGATTACGTATTTGTATAAATAAATTATAAAGTAGAGGATTAACAATCAGCCTCCGTAGCATAGTGGTAGTGCGTTCGCTTCGTAAGCGAAAGGTCGCGAGTTCGATCCTCGCCGGGGGCTTTCTATTTTACAGTTACATTTTTTTTTTTTCAAATGGGCTGGACTTTTGAGGATTCCCATAATTTGACCCAAATCCAGAATGTTTATCTGTAAACTTGTGCATAAGTTGGGCCTAACTGTGAAACTTTATAACCTTTTTTTTTAATTGTTGCCTTGTTGGTTCTGTTTGCAATCAAATATAAAGAAAATGGTGATCGAGGAGGTGGAGCAATGGAGAAATCTTGAGTTTCGACAGTCGAACCAGGTGGATTGTTATACCTTTAACAAAGAAGTGTGATTTTTGTATTAGAGGTTGTATAATGCGGTTAAGTGATACCTAAATATAAAAAATTTATTTTGTTTGTGAATGAGTCGAACAGCCTACATAATTCGGTTGTCGAATACAAGAACAATGAGCTAAGAATACAATAAATTTAGAATTCAGTTCTATCAAATGTAACAAAAAAATATTAGTTACACAAAAGAAAAGTTGACAAATATTTTGCTAGGATGGAGCTTAATTTGTTTTGAATCTCAGCCATTCAAATAATACCCAAATTGAAAAGGGAATGTTAAAAACCAATTTGAGAATTTGAGTAAGAGACCATTGATCAAATATGATCCTTGACCTAGGGCAGCGTGTAGAACGTTGAGGACCACAAAAAATTCCATAAATCTTAGTAGGAGTACCTATCAGCATGCCTGTACACACCTTCCATTTGCCTCCATCCTTATGTATTTCCAACAGTAAAAATAATAATTAGAAAAGAAGAAAAGTTTCTTGTGCATTCATGTCCATGCATGCTAGATATATGTACTCCTCGTTTGGTACATTATACGAACTGTTTTAGTCGAATAGACTAACCACGCTACTAATTATCTCTTTTTTATTTTGTATTCGTAACCCTAAACCCTATGCGCTAATGAAACCTTAAACACTATCCTATACACCAGCATCCGTTGAATCCTTGACTTCTGGACCTTTAGCTATATATCCAACACTCTATTTATCCAGTGCATGCCATACATGGGAGAATAGTAGAATTTTTACCCGTGCTCCACACTGTTGAGGGTAGAGGACCACAACTGGTACTGGGTGAGCCTTTTTGCATAATGGCACCTACATAATATAAAAGGGACAAGGATTGTCTGCTCTTCACTTCCGGTGCCCTTTCCGTGCCCTCTTGTTTTGTGTGGTCACGGTTAAGCAACGTCAATATTATATATATATATATTTTATAGATATAATAAGACAAAAATGAATAGTAATATAAAATGTTGACGTGACTTAACCGTAACTACACAAACAGGAAGGCACGAAAAGGACACCGGAAGTGAAGGGCAGACAATCCTTGTCCATATAAAAGGCAGGGAACTGGGGTTGGGTGCCCTTATTTAATGCTTCTTGGATCTTCTGACATGGCTAGCTGCAGCTGCTGCGCTGAGCCTGAGAGACGCAGAGTCTGCCTTCTAATTCAGTCCTCTCTGCCTGTGGACTCGTGTTCTTTCCTTTTCATTCTCTGAAGAACTGCAGATTTATTTTCGAAACTAATTTAAACAATAATTAACCAGTGTTTTTCTTGTTTTTCCTTTTTCATTTGTGCGTAGTCATCCATGCTTATTATTATAATCTTTATTGCTTCAAAAGGAGGGTGCACAGATGAAGGGAAACAATTAGACTTGTGGGCTATCCTTTCTAGCTCGGCTCTCGTGTGCCAAAATTAAGATTATTCATTCATGAAATTAATTTGAAAAGAAGAAAAGAAAAAAAAAAACCACGAATCTGGTAGGTTATAGGAATTGGATTATATATACTCGTGCAGTTAAGTTGCTAATGTAGTTTGCTAGCTCTGCTTTAGACATGTATAAGGTTAATGCATGCATATGGTTAAAGTCTATAGAAGTAGTTTGGCATGCATTCCAGAATGCCCGAGAGAGAGAGAGAGAGAGAGAGAGATCTTTAAGAAGAGCTCGACGTTCATGTGCAACAAAGATGCCTCGAAATTAATCACGTAATGTCATATAAAAAATTTTAAACACATAACAATACATAATATGACTTAAATACCGTCACATGACATTTTCGTTGTAAACAAGTTTCTCTCCTCAATTAGATTATGCATGCCACTTTCCATTCATTCTAAGTTTACTTTTTCTTCATTTTTCGAAGCATTAATATATGGATAATGATAGGGAGACTAAATTTGTAGATAAAATATTGTAAACTAAATGACATGAAAATTGATGATTGGATTATTACTTAAGCGTTATAAACGTGCTCATTCTATATGGCGACACATTATTTAGTCTACAAATATAGTTTCCCTAGCATCATCCTTGATATATTATTGAGTGCAATACAATTAAACATGCACCCACATGCGTAAAGAGGCAAACAGTGGTACATGTTTCTGGCTATATATAATACACTGCATACGTTTATAATATGTTCCTACAAATTAAGTAGATATGTCAGGACTCACAATTAGTAATCAGAATCCTTCAATATTAATGGACGTAAGTTGGTCATCATGATTCATGAGGATTGAGCTATAGTTTTAGCAGCAAATCCTAAGAATAGTGATCACAGGTTTGGCTCCAGGATTACGTGCTGTTGATTATATATCATTCCACATTGTACCCACATATATAAACATCACAGCATAGCATGTCAGCGCGGCATATATATATACATAATACATAATACATATACATATGCATATATATGGCCATGGCCAACATCTCCAAGATTTCCTGTATATAATTAACCAAAATCAGCCAACAAATATGATTCTGCTTTGCTGTACACAAGCACGTATATATGATCTTAACGAGCATGTGATGCATTACGTAGGGGTAGGGCATTGGCATAAAGAGTACGCACAAGCTAATTGATCATCCGATCGAACTCAAGACGTGTTACTATATATCATCACATTGTACCACCTCTCTAATAAACGTAGAACCTTAGCTCTTATTAAACATGGTCTTTTGTATTAATTGGTTCTTGAAGAGATGTGGATATCATAGTTCGTACTCCTAGCCAATATCAAGCTAAAAAACACATCACCTTGACTGATTTACTTATGCAGATCAAGTTTAACATGTTTTCTCTCTCCCGGTTTTATAACTTACTTAATATATATATCCTAACACGGATGACAATGGCAACATTATATTAATATCAAATCCCGCAGCTACTTGCTAGTAGCTAAACCATAGATTATCAACTAATAATTTGATACTTTTGGCATTGCATACTAAAAAGAACACATGAAGAATACATAATTAAATTCTTACTCATACGTTGCTTAGATATCCACCAAATTATGTGTGAAATCGGCGGATTTTCTCACTTTTCATCCCAAGTTATCAAGTTCTTTAGTAATGTATATCTCTGAAAGGAACTACATATTAAATGTGGATTATATGTAGTACGTAGTATGAGTATTAGTACACAGTAGTATATATATACATACCCATATATAGAAAAGACCATTCCACTCTTGGCCAACTTTTTTTAATTTATGTTCACTACTTCTTTCTATTCTTTCATGTCATTATCGGACAAACATACGCATGTCCAAGACTGGCAAAGGAGAAACCTTCTAAATCAACAATATATAACCTTACCACAACCACTGTAATTACATTACTATAGTTATTATTTGTTGATGATCTAATATATAAAATCCAGGTCTTTCATCAACAGAAAACTAAGAATATAGTAGACCTAATCGTACCAACACACACATTACATATACCCCATTAAATTGAGAAGTTCATGTTCTATATCTCTTTTTTTTCCCCCTTACCATGACTTAATTAATAATCATTGCTCATGCATATGATCCCCAGCACTGAGACTATAATTATAATCTCATTGGATCTCTCTCTCTCTCTCTCTCTCTCTCTCTCTCTCTCTCTCACACACACACACACACACACACACATGTGTACGTGCAATATATACACGAATGCAATACTGTGGATATCTGACCTCACACATATATATCGATGGATTAATGTGTATAGGATAGAGTATAGTATTTAAGATTATAAGCACTCTAATGAATCACTAGTAAGCAAATGTCTACATATAACATTGCCATACTTACAAAGTTATTCAATATTAATTCTTGTCGCCTTCGCAGAGAGAGATGGAGGAAAGTAGTGCAGGAAATAAAACCAGAGGAGATAGACTTTTTCTAGCTATAACTTGTGCCGAAATAATCAATTGCTTTGCTCCTCCAGCCAACACATCTATGCATGTCACGGTTCATCAGTTTCCATCTCCCGTCTGTTGTGTAAATCGATGCATGATATAAATAGATAGATGTTCCAAGATCACGAGATCAA